AGTAGTAGGCAGTGAAAATGCAAAATGCCCCCCTGTCGCCGAACTGCGCCTCAACGTCCTGTGACTCCTAGAACAAAATTTCAGATAATTTATCGAATCGACAGATTATTACTAGAGAGTAGGGGCGGTCCTGGTGGAGTAATGGATTGCGTATCGCCCGGTGTGCATGAGGTGCGGGCTCGATCCTTGCCTGGGGTCTGACTTTAGCCCATAACCCAGCGCTGTTGATTAGATAGATTATATCATTATCATCATTGATAGATTACAAATATTCAGTTGGCTAAGAAATTTCCATTACTGTGTTGGTACCTGTCATAACATCTTTTTGTTATTTAAGTATTCAAGCGACTGCCGTGAAACGAAGGAACTCCGAGATCGTAGAGATGCTTGGTAGCTGTCGATTGAGTTTAGCCCAGAGTTGTTGCCAACTTGAGAGTGGTTGCATTTGGCGGCACCCCCAGGGAGTTGTGTAAACGGTCATCATTAACTATCGCCAGGCGACCACAACCTTCTTCAGCCATGGCAAAAATAGCCCATTTGCAAAGCGCTGCACCAAAAAGGCGCCGCGGCGTGATGAATGACATCCTTTTTTCATACAGCGTTGCCACTTCTATATCAGCAAAGTGGCCAAGGAAGGAACCCGAAATAGAGAGCGAGTCGAATAGTAGCTGGTAATTTCAAAGAGTAGCTAGAAATAATAGAACCGTAGCTTGTCATCAAATTTCACACGCTCCCAAAAAGAGTTTTCAAGCTTAAAAACCCTGGCGATTACGCTACAGTAATCAGTATCTGAAATACTTGAACATTGTTTTGATTTTTTCACAACAATTTACTAGAATTTGCAGGAGTCCCCGTTCACTCTTAATCAGCTTGCCTGACTCAAAACGCTTTTAGGCGAGCGATGGGATGGTCTAGAGCAGAGCCGACCTAATCCTTCTGCGGGTGCTTCCGTCTGCAAAATCATACCATGATTGGTTCCAGCTGACTTCAGTTTTTTGTCTGGCTGCTTTCTCGGGATTCGCAAAAAAACCTATTTAAACCGTTATGCATAACATGCATTGAAGGGCTTTTAGCGGAGAAAATTGAATTTGAGACCACGTGCTCGTCTAGGCGTCTTGTGTGAGCGCCATAACTACAGAGTAAAGGGCTTACGAAACACCACGGGATCCCAGAGCATCTGAAGGGAGGGGGGGGGGCAAGCGCCCACATGTCACGTTCCACCTCTGCACGTCATGATTCTTGCGAACGATAGGGCGTGTGAAGCGGTGTGAGTTGGACTGCGGCCAGAACAGTCCTTTCCGCCATTTGTTGCGGACTCGGGATGGCATGATTGGAGGAAAAAGGCTGTCCTGGCAATCTCATGGCCAAACAGCATTACGAGTTTTTCACAAGCTTTTACACAATGCTAGTGCAACCAAATACCTCTGAGACATTAAAATTTGGTGCCAAAAAGCAACTGGCCCATGCCTTTCGAACCGAAGAAGATTACTGTAGAAAGCTATATGTATTTGCGACGACAGGTTTTGTTCCCATGACGCTCCATAAATGCACATCTACTGCCTCGCTCATATCCATGTCGCTACCCTCTCCAAAGAGGAAATGAAAAATAAATTAATAAAATAAATTAAAAAATGAAATATTGTGGTTTGGAGAATCTCTCATGTAAGTTGTACTTTTTCAGATCCCATATAATGAGATCGGTGGACAAACTCTGGTGTTGAACGTTTTCGACTTTGATCGATTCGGAAAACACGATCAGGTAAGCAAACTTACTGTTGATGTAGTCGGAATCCAGCAGGCGTGCCAGAAGGCTTAAATGAGCCCACCCGTGGCGTTCTCTACCACTGGTTGTTTCCTATCTGAAAAGGCTACTATTGGTGGAATGCGCAGACGTGGATGCCTCTCATTCCAACACCTCTGACCATTCCGGGCGGATTTGCGACGATATCAACCGACCGTCGAACTTGCTTCGAAACTCAGTCGGTAATGAATTTCAGATTGGTCAAATTTCCATTCCACTTGGAAAAATCGACCTCGCCACAACTATTGAGAAAACCGTACCCATTGAAAGCCCTCCGGTAAAGTGCCTTTTCCTATATGAATGAACAGTGCATAGAAGTTTGAGCGGATTGTTTTTCTTTTCTAGGCAGAATCGACGACGGAGAAGTATGCCTTGCCTTGCGTTTACGTTCTCCCTAACAAGAACTAAGCTGTCTGTTTGTCGTTATGGAATGTAAAAACCTCAAGAAAATGGACGTGTTGGGATTATCTGGTAAGCGCTTTGGTCTTTGCTCAATGTTTTTCTGGCCATTTGCAGTGCCATTCCGGATTGAACGATTATTTCTCATAACTGGTAAAGCTGATTCAGAGATGGGCGCTGGGACACCGTGACGGATAGGCGGCTTAATACCATGCAGTTATCCTGCGCGTGTTCATACCAGTTGAGCTTATACCCCACTATTATGAGCACCCCCCCATACCACTAAACTATAGCACGCTACTATTATAATTCCTTCGTTATAGATAAACTGTCTCACCTCGGCGGGTTCTTGGCTTCTTGCCGCCGTGGCTGGCTACTCGATGAGCCTCTCTTCGAGGTTCTCAGCTGCAAAACGCTTGCCCATTTTCTGGCGCGTTGCCAGCATTGCCTTGCCGTGACCGGAAACGGCGTCTGTGAGTCGGAGGTGGTTGCCGAGTGCCGCTGCCTTCATGCGTCGTCACCCATTTTTCAGAGTGCAAGCACCTGCGTCGATACCAATCGTCGGCCGCCACGAAACACACTTCAGCGGCTAGGAGAACCAGAAGTGCAGGGCGCAGATAGGTGGCCGCTTGGCCTATTGAGAGTTGTGGTTGGCCGTGCGGCCAGCGCGCTCGCTGAATTCTATGTACTACGGGGCACCCGAAAGCACCATCCTTCAGCTTCCCTCATCTCCTTCCGTTCCCGAGCACCTTCAACCGGGGAAAGGGGAGCCTGTTGCAGCTGCATACACACTCTCCCCGCACACGGCAAGGATCGGCATATCTGAAAGTTGAGGGTTACAGCTTCCCCCCGTCTTGCTCCTGCCACTCCACGTTTGTCGTGGACGGGGTCAGGCGGACCATCAGGCCGTGCCTTTCACACCACAGGAAGCCTCGGTGGGTCTACACCTTTAAAAATTATTTTAACTATGGCATGACTGTTGACCAAGCGTTTTAAGAAAGGTTTTCATAAATTTGCTGTCACTAAGCCAAAACGAAGTCACAGGATTCACTTGAACTTCTCAAAGTTATGGTCCTGATCCTTGTTTCCAGTCACAAAGGCACCAATTGCTCTAGAATAGCCCTTACCTATTCATTAGACGCGCTATGGAATATGGCTCTTATTCGGACTAGCCTTCATACAATATTCCTTCCTCCCCTCCCTCCCTCCCTCCCTCCTCCCCCTCCCTCCCTCTTACCCTCCCCCCCCCTTACGTAGCACAATAGGCCAAGTCTTACCTGGGCTCTGTGTGAAGGTATTATTAGGTCCCTCTGGAATGCCGCACACCTAATCATGATCTCTACAGACGACGAGACATGTGTAGGGGGCTGTGGGTCTAAAGAGTGGCCACTGGGTTAAAGTAGCGTTCAAAAGCTCCCACGATTCCAAAAGAAAATTAAATGCATGGCGCACACCTGCGGGATTCAGTAGCACCTTCTCCTCCTCCCCTCGCTCCTTTTCTCTCCTACTTCTACTAATCCTTATGCTTGGTGGTCTTTATTTGTACTTTCTGCAGACAGGCTACTGGAGGCAGAAATTTCTTGCATAAGACTGATCCTGCGTTCATGACTCTGAAGGATTTTAATTAAACCTTTTTATCGGGATGGCAGCTGGCCTCAATTGAATTCCGTGGTTTTTCTGTTAGAGGAGAAATTGGCGAAGGAGAGATCGAGTTAAATAAAACGACAGGCTATGGTCGTAATAAACCATTAAAAATGCCCAATTAATGAAGGCTATGAATAACCCGCTCGAAGTGTAAGAAGTCCAACTGCCTTCAGATCTAGGGGTTTCTTGAATTGTTGCTGGTCTATCTTCCGGGCAGAGACGCTGAGGAGCCGACTCAGACGGGGCCCTTTCTAGAGAGCTACGTCATGTTCTGACCCGACAATGGTACGTCAATTTGTCCAGGTGGGAAGAGAGAGGCGAGCGGTTATGGCGTCATTTATCCCGTTGAAAAATGGCTCTTCTTCAGGCGCCCATCGTCTCTATGGCTTACTCTTCAGCTATAGCGAAGAGCGCTTAATTTTCTTGATTTATACGTAGCTTCGGTATTATTCACCCTTGCTGTCCCGGTTTTGGGAATGCAGGTCACGTTTCGATTGTAAGGTGAAGCTGGCTGAAATGATGTTCTTTGGGGAAGCCGGACCTTCTGAATCCAAATAACACATTTACTTTGCTCGGAACCACGCAGCGTCCGCGATACAACTGCCGGTGCCAAGGCACCCAAGAGCGCCACATGTGCTGAGTACTTGTCCCAAAGGGCAGCTTGACTATCGAATATCGCATTTGACTGGTGCAGAAACGCTTTTCGCTACGTTATTCAGCCTACGTTATCCACT